GGCTTATATATTTTTAACACAGTTCATTTAGTGGTTTTCGATGATGCTTATCAGGTTTCTCATTGGAGCCATGTGTTCTTATTCACTATTACAAATTAATTAGTAAATTTTAGTTAACTATCTTGCTAATTAGTATGGTTATTGCCATCCTTGACATCCTCCAAGGCTTGAAGTTCGCTTCCGCAAAGAGTTTCTCTTTTCATCTCGAACAACATATTTTTAGGCATTATAAACTTTTCGAAAGAAACACCCAGCATAAAATCTGTTCAAAATTGTATTCTTCCTTTGTGACAACGAGCTTATAAAAACGTGTAAGGGAGCACAGTAAATTGAGTGTGATATTTAAATATCGGCTCATTCTAAGGGTTTAATGAATTCATAAATGAAGCCATGACCACGAGCTCCCGTCTTTTATTTGTCAGCTTTTGCTATCCTGAAAGCTTTAAAATATGTAATTACCTGTGACGTATCAAAGATCGCCGCTTAAGAATATCTAGAGATGCTATTTTATGTGGCAATCTCAAAGGCTTTGTTGGAAAAACACTTTGAACTGAAATTTCGTTAACGGGAGGGAATGTAGTTTGTTTTCTAAAGTGGAATTCACGATTCTCAGATGTGATAAAAATAGTTCTTTCTGCACGTCTTAAATGCTTCTTAGGTCCTTCTTTTTGTTGTTTGCTTAATTCGAGAGTTTGATTTAGGAAGGCTCGTAACGCAAGGTTATCTTCTCAACGTCTAACACGAACACAGTCCCCGGCTATCTCTTTCCGCCTTTCCTCGTTCCTCCTAATCCGTGCACGAAAGTCTAAGCGGCGATTGAATAACTCAACTTGTTCAGGAGCCGATTTTCCTCTTCTAACCTTTACGATTCCATGATTATGCGAAGGTTCCTGCTTCCACTTTCTGCTTTGCGCTTCACCATTACTTGCGCAGCGTAATGCGCGCTTTCAAATTGTTTACAAAGCAGCTCTGTGTGCGAAGGCTGGAGCACGCACACCCACATCGGTAGATAAGTTGGCAATGAGAAAGTCGAAACCACTCCATACCGTATACCCCTCCGTTTCTTTATGCCCCTTTTAACATTAGAGAGTTTTAGGGGACCGTTTTTGTACATCCGATACAGTACAATGCCCCCCCCCCCCCCCCCTTTACGAGCTGTGCATGTGCAAGTCTTCTGCCGTAGCATACGCGCAGTTCGTATACCGGAGGGCTCATCATACCGTACCGGACGTGCAAAAACGGTTCCCTAAAACTCTATTCGCCTCGAGATCGAACCGTGTCGCCACCGTGCGGCCGAAATTGGAAACACGCGAAAGCGGGGATACCGCCGTGCGTCGTCTGCTATGGGCGCACGCTCAGAAGCATGGATCTCGACAACGCAAGCCCGTTTCCGGCTGAGCTTGACATTCCTTATTAAATGCTTTATGTTTTTGTTGCCGTTTATTCTTACTAACGGTAATGTTGTATCGTTTCCCATGCGTAGAAATTCAGCAAAGCGATTATTATTAAGTCGGAAGCTTCCACAACCTTAGTGTGTTGGTTTGTATACAATCGCTGGTCCCACGTATTTTTGTTATCTCGCACAACCCGTCGCTTTCATAAAGAATTGAATGTTGAGTGGGTCTGTGGTTTGATTGGAAAATTAACCCGACTGGTCGCTATCCTTTAATAGACTAATCAATCAATAAATCCGTATGTTAATTTTTCGCCAGTCATATTGCGTAAAAGGCGTTAAAACTATACATTTTTTTACTGGTTTTACTATGTCATAAATGGCATATTGCATTCCCATTCTAAACTTCACGTTGGGAGTCCTACATAAATATGAACACGGGAAGCTTTTTAAAATTAAGAATTTTTAAAATTTATTATTTAAACAGTATGACCACCCTCGGTGAAATGACAAGCACGCTGAAGTGGTTTATTGTGCGAGCCTGTGTCACAAAAGAAATAAAGACGTCAAAAATATTAAAGCCGGCATTTTTTACTCCTTCTTGACTTTCTCCAGTACAAGACTCCAATTAACCGCCAAAACAAATTGCAATTAAAGCATCACTTGAATAATCTGAAGGTTAATCGATGAACTGCCCAGTCCCGATATACGTTAGGTGAGGGCGGAGGGTGATCGGAAAGTCTCGTGAAGGTCGATAGCCCTCATCAGTAAAAGAGTATCACCACGCCCGATGCTGTCTGTGTCGTGGTGCGGGTTGTTTGCTGGAGTTGCAGAGTCTAATGTGTTGAATACAAGATTATTTAGCCAGAAATTTATAGTATTAGCCTTTTGACGTCCGCAACCCTTCACAAAAAAAAAAGAAAATTGAAGCGGGTTAATTCACACTACCGAGAAAAGCATTTAATAACAGGAACATTGCTGCGTTGTTCGGTTACAACAGTTTATTACAGTCACGGCAGACATATTAGGGCAGTTTGTTTCACTTGTTTCAGTTGTCCTGCCAACCGTGCAGTATGCAGATTTTAACTAGAAGAGACACTCTCTCCTCATCGCAACGCAGTAGATTCAGACTCCAAAAAACTTGCCCACACTATGGCACAGTAAAAGGGCAGAGGAACTCAATAGCATGGTAATTTCCAATACAGCACTAACTTATCTTCATTCTAAATATTTATATTACTGCAAAAGCTAGAAGTTAAAAAAAAAGCATAGAAGCTGCGATTTCACAGCCCATTGTACCAGTATTAATGTTATCTGGGTTGGAATTTATTGTTTTTTTAATTGCCACGTTGATGAACTTGATGAACCGAGCCTATTGGGCGGCCTATGGGGAGCCTATGGGGCGGCCGTTCTCCTATCCCCGCTTTGATGATGATGATAGCGCGACCGTAGCGCCACCTCTAGGTCGATCTCGTGGCCAATACTGGAAACGTTTAGGGAACCGTTTTATCGCATTCGATGCGGTATATGATAGGCCCTTCCGTACGAACTGCTCATATACTACCGCATACCACTCGCACATGCGCAGTGCGTACCGGAGGGCGTATCGTACCGTAGCGGATGTGCAAAAATGGTTCCCTACAGCTCCCTATTAAGTCCGACCTCAGTCGATGGTAGGATTCGATAGAGCCAATCAAACAGCGGCCAAAGTGCGTCATCACCGCGCTTGTTATGTTTGCGCACAACACACCAAACAGCAGGACTCGCTTCCCCTTTTCTCGTAAATGGTATAGAACTTAATTAGACGAAACGTGTACGAATGTCTACAGATATTGCCCAGTTAGAACTTAGCAGCATCGGGCCGTAATATTGCTGACCTGTGCAATCCGTGCAGAACACCCAATGTGAAAACGGTTCAATGTTCATGTACCAATTGAAGGATTGGAATTAATGATAAAGAAAAACAGTCGCGGTGGCATCTTGATCAACCAAATTTGCCTCCAGAATAAAATTGAGACCTAACCCAACCTAACCTAACTTAACGTAACCTAATGCTTGCCACAAAAAGGCTACTGTCTGTTTTAATTACTTACTAACTCGTTTGGTGCACACAATGCTCGACAACAGCAACCGCAAACAGGAAGGTCACGGCGAGCTTGGCATGATAGGTGAGGATTTTGAAATGTCTATATCACGAACTTGATCATACTATTTCGTCGTGCTCCTTTGCTCGGCTGGGTATGCTTTTCTTAATTTGTTGTTATTGCTAACTTGCTTCAGACATTTGTCATGCATGTCTGCTCGCCCGGGAATGTTTTTATTAGTTTGTTGATATTACGTGCTTGCTCGAGACAATTTTGTTATGCATGTTTGGTCGGCTAAAACGTTTTTTTCTTAATTTGTCTTTCAAGACTCGAACAATTGAGTATATTGCGATAAGTGTTCTCTCACATGTTAAAGCATTGTTGCGTCTCTCAACAAAAGATATGACGTCACTTGCGCTCAGACGTCGTTACTACAAAAGAGCCAAGTGTTTATCACAATCGGGTTTACTTGATTTCACGATACGCCGGAAGCATTTTTTGGCCTATACGCTTTGCCCAAAGGTAAGAACCGATAATACAAAAAGCGTAATGGCAAAAAAAAAAAAGAAAAAACGATACACGGTGACAAAGCGCACTGTTATCAATAACATCTCGTCTCTTTCGGAATTTTTTTTTTTTCTTTTGGTTAGTGCGTTATATCTTTCTGGTATATAGTATTTATACCTAGTTTGCGTGACGTGCTCAAATCAGGACTTTTCTTGCGGAACGATGCTCATATGTCTAATCCTGAAACCCGTGGTAACACCATGACTCATGGTTAAACCTCATCGCGTTGGCTGGTGATACGTCTCTATTTTTGATAGTGTCATACCTTTTGTGCTTTTTTTCCTGCGGTCGCGCGAGGACTGCATTGTGGTGCGAGGAAGAGTAGCACCATCCTAAAGCCGCTGTCGCATTTCTTGAACATCATACAAAAAACAAAGTGTTCACTGCAAACAGGATGACATAAATATCTAAGGACACACCTAGAGGGAACGCACATGCTTCATACATACATGTCTGCAGACAGTTCTTTTACGACCAACGTTGCAGGACCATCGAACAAGGCGTCGGACAGTGTCTGAAGACTGTTTTCATTTGTATGACGTGTAAGCAGCGTGACTACGGTTTAAGCGGCAGCCCTATTGCCCCGGTGTTCGGATGTAATAACACCTGTGCCCTGCGCTAGAGAGAGACACATGTCAGAGCGGGGATTCAGCGACGTCCTATTCACGCTCGCGAGGGAATCCCTGACGAGCGACGGTCCTCTGTTTCGTCGCAGGCTCGGATGCTAGCGGGGCAGCGTCGTTGGCGGAGGCGTCAGCAGCAGCAGCAGCGGCAGGCGTGAGCCGACGCGGCCGCAGCGTCCTCGAGTCCCAGAGGCAGCCTGGGAGGGCGGTCGCCCGCGCCAGCGGCGACCCCTCTTGGGACCTGAGGAGCCGGTCGCGCTGGAGACCGCGGACGCGTTCGCGCTGGAGCCGCAGCCCCAGACGGCCACCAAGATTGGGGACATCGATATCGCCATGAGCTCGTACTTCGCCAACTCGTACCTACCGGATATGCGGCCGGCGGCAGGCGTGGGTAACGGCGACCACTACGGGCCGCCGCACCAGCAGCAGCAACCCAACGGGGACCACTGCGACCAGCGGCAGTACCTCCCGTACGGGGGCTCGCCGGGCCACCAGGGTTACCCGCGGTTTCCGCCGTATGATAGGCTGGAGATCCGGGCCATCAGCAGCGCGCCGGACTCCCCCAGCCCACCGAGCGGCTACTACGGTAACCACTGCGGGGCCCCGCCGGCGCCGCCGCCGCCGACGCCGGTCCAGCAGCAGCAGCCCCCTCAAGCGATGACCCACCCGAACGCGTACGTGCCGGCCCCCGTAGAGGCCCCCAACTGCCGGGGCTCGCCCAGCGAGGCCCCCGTGCCGCCGGCCATGGCGCAGTACCCGAGCTGCAAGATGCAGACGGGACACCTGGCCGGAGACGTGCACGGCGTCACCGGGCGCGGCGGCGGCGACTGCGGCTCGGCGGCCGTCATGCACGGCGGAGCCTGCGGCAGTCCGCCCGGGGTCCACTCTCCGCCGCTGCAGCAGCAGCAGCAGCAGCTCTACTCGCCGGGACACGGCGGCATGCCGCCCAACGGGCAGCAGCCACCCACGCACAACTCGGGGGCCATGCCGAGCCCCCTCTACCCCTGGATGCGGAGCCAGTTTGGTGAGTACCATAGGCTAGTGCGTTCCGTGTCTTCCTAGAAATCACTGACACTTAGATCGATATGAATGGAGTAACAAGTGACGTTGCCTTCTTATAATCATTAACGAAACAGGTGTCACGACTGAAACAGTATACCAATAAAAAAACCAGTAATGATCATGTCGTATTTTAGCGCGGCGAACAACGGGGTGATTACCTCGAGCAACAAGATCATTGTACGCCCATCAAGCGCGCTACACAGGATTCATCAAATGGCCAGAATTATAAAAAAAGCTAATCTAAACGGAAGGAATCTTACTAGCTCATGCATCTGCTTGATTGAAGGTGCAGCTACTATAATTAAACGTAGTTTCTTCAAAAGACGTTTGAACGGTGTGTGTTTCGGGTTCGCGTGGCCATCACGTACCGTTTCGTGAGGGTGTCTATAAATGCCTATCGACCAAGGTTCTTTATGCAGTCTGTTTGTTCGGAAAGAAAATAAAGTTTTGTTAGCGATTATATCGTTCTTCGTCATGCTCTATGTCACTAAGATAAACTATAGAAAACGGTTCCGAGGACAACATCAATTTTTTTAAGTCTCAGTCGGACTTGCACAGACCGAACTAATGATAGAGAGAACAAGGACGTTAGTAAAAAAGATAAGATATTTGAGGGGAAATAAAAAAGCATGCAAGGGACAGGTTGTGTTTTGTCCGGCCCTTATAGATGTTCCTCCTTAACTTTCGATTTAAAAATATTGTCTCGCTTGTCCTGGCGCTGCGGGGTAAACTGAAAGAAATAAAGAAACAAAGACACCTGCACCGAAATAAAAAATAAAAATTACATGACGTGGCGACTTTCTTTTACCTGAAAATTAGGGGTGTGCGGGATTCAATCGAATAGCGAAGTCTCATCCATAGATTTAACGCTGCTAGGAAAACCGACTGGCGTTGCTTCTACTTCCACTGTGAAGGCTATGTATGACGCAGTGCTATTTGATCCGAACAGGTATTCGCACACCGCTAATGAGAATACACTCGTGTACTCGCCACTTTGCAAGCGAAGATGATTGAGCCGTTATAGCATTACAGCAGAGCACTGAAGACATTCAGTTAATCAATTCCGTCGGATACATCACTGTGCTTACTCAATATTTTCCTCTTTTTTTTTCGATCGAATCCCTTTCGTTGCAGAGACGACGGACGGGTTTGACCTCAACCGGTTTCGGGCCAGACCGATTAGCTTCCTATTTTCATTCCGATGTCACGTGCGCTCGTAGAGGCGCCTGTCGATATTTCGAGTCACGTCCGGCCAGTCATCGACCATGGCTAATGTAAGACTTACTGCCCGGATCGAGAAAACACCCTCAATACTTTATCGCGATGATACGGGGAAGGGTATATTGAAATCAGACTTGGGGAAGTAACCCGTTGCAATTAACTTGTTACTTATATTTCCGTTTCCTTTTCAAGGAATTTTGTAATTCCACGTTACTTTTTGCATCAGTAATTTGTAATAAAAATTCGTTACAAAAAGTTGGTAACGCATTAGTCTAATTACCCGTTACTTTCTTTTTTTAAATATGAAAACAATAGAGGAACTGGAGCAATAAAAGTGTGCGACCTCCCGCTCGACCAAAGCTCAAAAACGAATGTCGCTTCCATGCATTTTTCAGTACGGCATGCAACTATACTCCGTTCATGCGTGAGCTCACAGTGCGCTAAAGCTTCATGCACTAGACCGCAGCTTTGAAATGTTTTGCTCACGCTTGAAACACCCGTTTCAAAAAGGAGCTTTCGTAGATCGGTTGTTTGCGTCCGAATCTCCCAGTTGGGGTAGACGCTGATACTGAGCAAGCTCACCGCTTTACTTCGTCTCACCCTAGCATGGACTAACCGCGAAGGCTGTGCTAGCGCGAGCGGCCAGCATCGACTGCCTTGACTAGAGCACTGGCTGCACGAGCACTCGTGCAGCCGCCGAGGCTTCATTCAAAGCGACTAGCTCGCGCTTTTAGCACGCGCGGCCAAGGGTGAGACGAAGTACAGCTTATGTCTGCAGAATTTCAGGGATTATTCCCGGTCGCCGTAAGCTAAAGAGTGTAGGGTGTAGTGGCAGCTTTCGCTGCCTTGTCAGCTTACAGGTGAACGGAGTCTACCTACATTCTTTAAAATACAATATTTTATTTTTAGAAAGACTACCGTAATGCAGGCGTGTGAGAGGTAGAAGGTAAGTGTTACAGAACATTTTTGGAAATCCAAACTTGTTTTTATAGTTTCCTTGATAAGTGCACGGAAGAAATAACGTGAAAGTAATTTATAACGGAACGAGTAAAGTAATCCGTTATTTTTCAGCGAAAGTGATTTTTAACGGTAATTCATTTCACAGGATACTCAAAATGTTTTTAATTGTAATCCATTACATTTTTAAGTAGGGGGCGCATATGTCTGTTTATTGCATAGAGGGCAAATTATTGGCATGCAAATACATATCCTTGTATTCTTAAAACGTATTTTATTTAGGAAGACTTTTTTTCTTGTGTATCTTGATTTGTATGTATCTCTCCAGTAGCACTTCAAGAATAAAATGCGAATGAAATGCAGCCAACTGTATATATTTAACTATAAGGAAAGAAAGTTTAATGTATAATTTTTTTTAAATGAAATGACGTATTAGCAAGACCTTTAATGAATTCGAAATGTTAAAGTCAAAGAGCCGGTATTCTTTTTTTTTAAATATATTTTATCAATTTTTTTTTTATTTCATGCACTTTCACGTCGTCCCCACTTTCTCTACAACATTTGTTATTTTTGTTTATTTCTCTCTCTATATATACCTATATATTTGTGTAGCTATAGGCACACTCAGAGGCACAGGTAACAGCTAGGGTAAGGAAAAAATAAATAGGTTATAAATCATAGCAAAACATGTCATATCGCGAAATCCACGCATAAAGAACATCCGGTGGGCTTATTATAAAAATTGCTTGTAATGACAATAAAAAACCTTTTTTTTTTTTCTTTTCCCAAATTCGGACTTCGGTTGCGGAAAGGTTACTCAACAATACACAAATGCTGTGTATAAACGAATAACAGATCAATATGTGTGACAGTAGAAGAATACGTCATCAATGAGGGGAGTTCTCGACCGCTGTTCGGGGGGAATCCCGGAGAAAAGCTCACCGGAGAAAAGCTCACCGGAGAAAAGCTCACCGGAGAAAAACTCACCGGAGAAAATCTCACCGGAGATAAGCTCACCGGAGAAAAGCTCACCGCAAAACCGACGGATGCGAAAAAAAAGTTCACCGGACACTGAGCGTATGCGGAGAAAAGCTCACCGATTTTTTTCTTCTTTTTATATGGAGGCTGTTGGATCATGCGTGACATATATCAATTTATTATCATTAAAATTCGTCAGCTTTGTTGAAAAGAAAATTTTCTTTTTCTTAATATTTGTTAAGCTCATTGGGTACATTACTCCCAAATTAATAATTGCGGGCGATTGTTTTTTTTTTTGTTTTTTGTGGCTTACTCTTTAGGCAACGAAAGCCTAACCGCCTAACTGAAAACTTCTTGAACTTGAAGAACAGGAAAATGTTCGAGCACTTAATACTATTTGCCTAAAACCTAAAAATTAAAACTGTACAGCCGAATATCCGAAAGTGCACGCGCAAAAACGCGGTGCCTGAAATTCTCTTTGAAGCTTTTGTTAACCTTCGAAACAGGATAAAACAGTAAGTAGGATATCGAGGCTTCTTTTTTCCACGTACTGTCTCCGGCGATATGAAAGACCCACTGGGAGCGCGTGGCTGAGGCGGTGGCTGGCGGGGGCGCTGCGAGCGCTCCGGGCAATTCCATTCTGCTTCGAGGGGAGGACGCTCACTCAAGCTCAGCACAAACTGATAGGAGCGCGCTTTAGCTGAGCCCCGAGTGAGCGTCCTCCCCTTGAAGCAGAATGGAACTGCCCCGAGCGCTCGCAGCGCCCCCGCGAACCACCACCTCGGCCACGCGCTCCCAGTGGGTCTTTCATACTGCCGGAGACTGTACATGCACGTTTTCTAGCCGTTCGTGCTGATGTTTCCACACGTTTCCTTTGTGTGATAGTGCCCTTCTACGGTGATCCACCAATGACCTTCAGAGCTGCACACTGGCACCGTTGTTACTCGTGACCTATATAAGAACTAGTCTTCTGTAAGGTAGCGAATCGGGCGAGTTGGTAAACGTTATACATAATGAAAACTTCTCAAACGACAACGACGGAGTGAAGACAACGAGGTGACCGAACACGACAGGACGAAGCTGTTCTCGCAACTAAAGGTTTGTTAGTCAAATTAACAAAAATAAAACAGCGTAGCCGACACTGATTACATCAACAAACACCTACTTACCTATTAGGCATTACACAATATTTGGAGCTGAAACGGTTCGCACACCGCTATTCATATTAGCTCGCAAAGAACAAACTTCTTTATCTGACAGAGCTACATACTGTGCGCTGTTAGCTCTCGATAAATTGTTGTCTTTTTTACAGGTGTACCATGTTCTGAATTTATACCCTTGCGGCTTCATTAATATACAAAATGGTTGATTATTAATTTTAGAGGAATTAGTAAATATGCACAATGAGCTTCAAGAATATTAGAAAAAAGAGGGTATATTTTTAATGAAGTGACGAAGGCGAATTGTGTTAAATTGCCACGTTTGGCGTAAAATCCGATAAGTTAAAAAAAAAAAAAAAGTCGAGCTTTTCTCCGCATCCGCTCAAAGGCCGGTGAGCTTTTCTCTGTATCTGCCGGTTTTGCGGTGAGCTTTTCTCCGGTGAGCTTTTCTCCGGTGAGCTTTTCTCCGGTGAGCTTTTCTCTGGTGAGCTTTTCTCCGCCGCCCGTGGGGGGGGGGGGGGGGGTCAAAAGTATCATAAATAAGCCAATAAACTGAGTGCAATCAAATATTTAACAAAGGTGTCTTCATATAGTGCATTTTATACTCAAATATCAGGAGTAGATTTTGAAAGAAAGAAAAAAATGT